GAGGAGGTGGCGGCTGGCCAACCTGGCAGGCTGAAGGGCAGGGGCTCATCTCACAGGGGCAGTGGCTTGAGGCCTGGTCTCGGGGCTGGGATGGGGAGAGATGGGCCCCGTTTTTCTGGAGCTTTCGATGTTTCCACGGAGCTGAAACTCCGTGGACTTCTGTCATCATGAGGTCGTCCAAGGCAAGGACAGGGGACCAGATTCAGTGGAGGAATCTCGGGCCAGATTAAAAAAAAATCTGAGTGTGAGACAGTGAGACACCCAACAGGGAGCGTTTGCAGTCCCTCACCTGGAGGGGACTTTGGCAGCTGGTGGCAACTTCACTGGAAGACATTCCAGTGGATGAGCTGGTTCTCCAGGTCCGTGGGTGGCCTGGCTGTCTCCACAGGACTCAAGGCTTGCCCAGGGGACCAGGTGCTCTGCAGCTTCCCCACAGGGCTTGTTACTGAGGTGCCTTATGTCACTTCAGGTCAGGTGAGACTCGCCTTCACCTAAGAAACCAGGTGATGGCGGTGCCGGGAGGCGGGGCTCAGCTGGCAGAGTGTGCTGGCAGGTGGGCTGGTGCTGGTCCCCACACGGGGCGAGGACACTCGGTGCAGACTCCACGGCACCCTCCTCATCTTCAGAGTGGTGAGATTCACACAGCCTCAGTTAACCTGGACCATTTCAGGTGAGTCCCAGAAAGCCAGCAGGGAACCAGCCGCACCCGGACTGCAGTACAGAAAAACGTGCCAAGAGAAGTCCTGGGAAGTCCACGCGGGATTGACCTCGGGCGTCACGCTTTGTCCACTGCCTAGGGTGGATGGCCCAGGAAGGCATGCAGGTTCTGGGGCGGGCAGGAAAGGGCAGGAGATGGTGAGCGTCCAGGTGAGACAATACACGTTCAGAATCAGTAAAAAAAAAAAAAGGTGCGCAGAGGTGTGCGCGCTGCTGTGCTCCTGACTTGAAGCTGAAGCCCAGGGAAGGCCCAGCTAGGAGTGGGTACGGCACCGTCCTCCACCTCGCTTGAATTCCTCTGACTCCACTGGACCACGCTTGCTCCTGGGCGGGAGCAGTGGAACCCACTAACAGTGCAGGGGACATTCTGGTGGAGTGTGGGCAAGGTGGGGGCCGTGTCTTGGCCACTTCTCCCCCAGCCTGGGTCGCTGATTGGAGATCCAGAGCCCAGGCAGGCACCGTGAGCCTGTCTGATCTGATGGCAGCCCCTGGCGCAGAAGCCAAGATGATTTCATGGGTTGCTCATCCCCAGCTTCCACGGCCTTCAGCACGTCCCTGGCAATCACTGATCACTTTACAGAAGTCCTGTCTGCTTCCCAGGAGCCACCAGCACACCTGTCCTGGTTCCTTCTCAGCCGTGTCCTGGTGAATGTGAAGACCCTGCTCTCGGCCTTGGGAGGCACTCCTGAGCCCCTGTGGGGGTGTCCACTCTCCCTGCTGGGCACACTGCCGACTCTGTGATCGGAGTGCGGATGTCCTCATATGGACAGTGCCGTTTGTATTTCTCTTTCTTTTGGCTACGAGCAGTTTGAGGGCTGTGTTTGGGTTGTCTGTAAGTCCCCAGTTTTGCAGTGGAATAGCACAGTAGTTTATTAAACATGTCTTCAAGAAATTGGAAAATAAATGAAGAGCTCGTTTGCTCTCATAGGTATGAAAATCCAGAGAAATGAACAGATTAGGATTTTAAAAACCTAGTTAAATAGTTAAGTTTTATTACACTAGAGGAAATTAAAAAGGGCACTGTGGGCTGGGGATGTGGCTCAAGCGGAAACGTGCTCGCCTGGCATGCGCGGAGCGCTGGGTTCGATCCTCAGCACCACATAAAATAAAGATGTTTTGTCCACTGAAAACTGAAAAATAAATATTAAAAAATTCTCTCTCTCTCTCTTTAAAAAAAAAGGGTACTGTGCAGTGCTCAGTAGAGGTCACTGTGGGAGCTCCGTGGTGTGTGCTCAGCATGTACATGCACAGGTACCTGTGGGAGGCATATGAGGCATATGAAGCATGTACACAGGGTATAGAAATATAAGGTCCATATAAAGTGTGTGTGTGTGTGTGTGTGTATATATATATGAAGTATATATATATAAAGTGTGTGTGTGTGTGTATATGAAGTATATACAGTGTGTATATGTATATATATATATATATATAAAAGCATTTCTATAGATTGTGTACCTCTAGGTGTACCTGAGCCCCGGAGAGACGAGGAAGAGGAAGAGTGCGTTCATACAGATCACATTACAATAGCAAACTCATCAGCTAGGGTGTTTTGCTGTTTTCCAAGTCACATCTCAAAGCAAAATCTGCATTCACACCCTCTCCCTCCTCTTCTCCACCTCCCAGGCTGCCCGGCGATTCCTCCTCAGGAAACTGGGACCCACGGCAGCGCAGTCAGAAAACGGCAGCCACGGGGCACTCTATGAACATCAGCTTTCTTTTACAGCAATGACTTATGGTTTCACAAACCAGCTATTTTCAGAGTGGCGTGTCTCTCCTGAGCACTTGGTGTGATCTATCTCATTTAAGCTGCGACAACCATCTGGGAGGGGCTACTGCAGCAGCATCACACACATCAAAGAAGGCGGCAGAGTGGAGTGAAGCCGGAGAGGAAGGAAGAAGAATTTTCTCATTTTCCACCTGTGCCCTCTCCGCTGCTCAACTCAAGAGACGGAGATCACCAAGGTCTACCAAGGCTCCATGTAGATCGACGACAGTCCTAAGCTCTGCACTGTGGGGGTTCAGGGTGTGTTTCTCTTTGTGACACATGAGTCAGGGTTTCTGTCTGCAAAGGACGTGTCTGGTGAACAGAAGCCGTGTCTTCGTATCCCTGCACTGGTAGACATTTTCTCAGTAACACACAAGCACTGAGCACAGGGTGGTAAGCCAAGGTCCTCTGTCTCTGTTTGTCGGAAGCTAACGTTGTCAGAGCCAAAGTCAACCCCAACCTAGGTTCATACGCTGGCTCTTCAGTGAGTCTCACCCGGCTGGTGAGTCACTCGCAGATGGGTCTGGGTTGCACTGTTGGTGCTGCCGACCTGAGTGTGATTCAGAGTTTTGCCTGTGGATGGTCTCCCTCTCTTGCATGTTCCACGTCTCTGTGCTCTGGGATTGTGGACGCAGGAAGAACCACCTTTTGTTCCTCTTGGAGTTGCTCCTGCCTGGGCAGAGGTGCCATTGCCCGCCCTGGGGTGGAGATGAGGGCACAGGGCCTGGTCCATCTGTGGTGCCTGTGCGTGGGGCGGGCAGCCCACCTGTGGGGTAAGGGGGCTGCAGCAGACCCCTGCAGCACCAGGGTGGTCCGAGCATGCTGGCCTGGCTCTCATCTGGCTCCGAACAGACCTCCAATAGCAATTCTTATGCCCCCTCCTACGCGCAAGGCCCTGACTTCCCAGGAGAGGAGCCAGACGGCCACTTCACTCAGGAGCCTCCAACGTGGCAGCCTATAGAGCACACAAAGACACGCTGGGCAGGGGTTATTTGTGTGAAGATCCCGGCAGTGTCTGTCCGCCTGCAGCCCCGCCTCCTCTGGCGCCTTCCTGACGACACCTGCAAAACAGGGCAACACACTCGTCTTACAAACCCTGGTGTCATTAAGTGACACGAGAGTTGGGGTGCACAAGGATGGCCCTGGGGCCCCACCTGCCACAGCCACCAGAGGCCCTGGCTCCTGCAGGCACCCTCCACCTCTCAGGCTGAGCCAACGGGTTCCTGCTTATTAGGGGCTGTACGTACCCAGACTAACCTCCCTCCTGCCTCCACCTGCCTCCACCTGCCTCCTCCTGCTTCCACCTGCCTCCTCCTGCCTCCACCTGCCTCCCCCTGCCTCCCTCCTGCCTCCACC